TTTGTATTTCCATACTTGAAAGCTCAACCTCAGTTGCCCTTTCTGTTATCTACATGTGTTCTGTTGTACTTAGGGTTTTCAGAGGCCTGCTATTTCAGAAGTGGATGGCCAATCCTTCTTCCTAGTCTGTCTTAATGTAAATGTTCAGATCCAGAGAAGTATCAGACAGACCAGCAAGTTAAAGGTATATCCCTTATTGTGGAGTTAAAAATCAGTGTTAGTGTTGTCCCTACCTCTGGGATTATAGTGCAGGGTCTTGCCACCAGGGCACCAGAGCTCCCTTTTAATAGTTGTTGTTGTTCTTAGAGTGAATTATATTAATTCTGTATCTATTTTATAAGAGGATAAGGTGCTTAATGGAAGCTTCAAGATCTGACATTAAATTAGATAAAATTAAGAACAAATCATTTTGCATAAATATATGTATTCTGCTATAAGAATATCAGGTAATTTGGAATAGAACTCCAACATTGGCATTAGAATGAGATTTTGCTTAAACTTAACTACTTTGGCATCCTACTGTGTGCTTATGTACGTGCTACTGCCATTACTTGAAACATCTGTATATTCAACTTTTGGAGCATTTTAAAGTGAGTTCATTAGCCAGGTAATATAAACCATGATACTGTATGGTCGTCTGTGGCCTCATTAATATGCAAGATAGATATTGTAAATGAAAAATTTCAGATGAGAGAGTCACTCAGTGATGAATAGCTGTGTTAGTTGAGAACGAGCTCAGTGTGTAATAAATTATTTCATTTTTTCTTCAGGAAAACCCCAAGAAACAGACACCATTTTATAGATGAGGACACTGACAGGAATGAGCTAGACAGGAATGGCTGAGTGTCTTGTGCATGGTGCTTGACTACACAGCTGGGGCTCTTGCTTGCCACAATGGCCTGCTCTGCCTCCTACGATTTGGCCTCCATTCACCTTCTCCTTACCTCAATCCATTTCCTCTGCCTGGTCACTGTCTCCCTCTCTTTCGATACCTTCTACACTTTCTCATCTCAAGCATTACTTCCTCAGAGAAACTTTCCCCGATCCTCCAGACCAAATCCTTGTTCTTTTTACTAAATGCATTCTTCCCAAACTAGGAATAATCTATTCATTTGTATCTGTGTTCTAACTTCCATACAGACAAGTCTGTTTTGCTCACCCTGGTGTGTTCGGTGGCTGGCACAGTGCATGCATGCATGGTCACATAGTAACAGCTGAATGACATTCATATTTGTCATGTAATTTCCCTAGTCTGATTGCAAAGAGTAAAGGAATAATTCTCAAAGTGATTCTAGTAAAAGAATTATGTGTTAAAAATTTTTCATCTTCAGACTTTGAGGAGTTTTTATATGCTGTGGAGCTTAGCTGACCCTCCAGAGAGTTTTCAAAGACTAAACTTCATGGAAAGAGACTGCACAACTTTCTACTGCAGAGCAGCTGGTGGATCCAAACCATGTGCTTTTGGGTTGGGTTGACAGCACAACTCCTTATCAGTAGGCAGCCAGAAGACCTTGAACAGGACCTGAGAATTTACATTTCTAACAATTTCCTAGCTAAGACTCATACTGCTAGTCTGGGGCCATGTTTTACTTACGAACTGTGACATTATTATGGAAATGTAAAAATTTAAAAATAACCAAGATTCTGATTAAGAACCTCAAGCTATGGATGTAGGTTTGAGTTGACTTAATTGGGTTTAATACAAAACTTTACAAATGTTTTCTTAAATCTCATTCTTGGTACTTAATAAAAATCATGTCATGCTGTTTCAATTACCATAATGGAAAAGACTGATTTTACTCAGGATTTTCTTGTTGCCTAGTGGGTGGGGAGCTGAACTGCTAACCCAAAAGTGGTTCCTCTCAAACAGTTTTAATCTACCAGTGGTTCCAAAGAAGAAAGAGGGGCAAATCTCCTATGCAATTTACAGTCTCTGAAAAACTACTGGAGGGTGAGCTATGAGTTGGTTCTCATTTGATGGCCATGAGCTGAGTTACGTTACAAAAGCGATGTTAGTCAGAATTATAGGTGGTTGCTTGCACTTCTTACCACAGAACACCACCAACAGTAACCACGTAAATGACTCAAAATTACAAAGTCGAGACCCTGGAAGAGATGGACTGACACAATAACAGGGGTAGTGAGGGTAGATGTGTCAGAGACAATGAGAATGGCTCAGGATAGAGCAGGGTTCAGAGCTGTTGTACATAGGGTTGCTATGGGTCGTAGTCAACTCAACAGTATATAACAACATCCACCAGATACAACACTAGTAAGAGATGGCACTAATTAGTGAACACTTAAGAAGACTGACCAGAAGGACGGTGCTGCCTGCTCTCTGAAAATTGCTCTCTTAACACTTACATGTGAGGAATAGTAGGACACCACTGATGTCTGTGGATTATACATTGATGGATCTAACTGTATAAACTAATACCAATTTTTGTGAATTTATTTTCCCTTTCAATTTTAATGGCAACATAGTTTACTGTGACTTCATCCCTGTATAACCAACCAATGACTAACTAGTTATGCAGATCAGTAAATGCAACCAAAATGTACAAAAAAATTCTAGTCTTCATCACTCTAACTGCATGGGAGGATGTTTTTCTTTAAGTTCTTAGGAGGTAAAAAATGTATTTCTATACAAGTTAGTTTTACTTTCTGTTTCCTCTCCAAATCTTGGGACTGCCATTTTCCCAGTGATTCACGTCACAAGGGAGACCAGGCAAATTGGTGAGATATCAGCCCCATCCATTGCCAGTATTAAAATTCATGTCTTAATAGTGATGGGAAATGACGGCTTCCTTTATAAATAAAAACCAGTGTTTTCTCTGAGTATGAATAATTCAACCTCATCAGCCTGCAAGCCTAATAGAAACACTTACTTCTTTGAGAGCGGCTGGGATTTTTTTCTGTTTCCTCCCTGATGGAATACTCTGTAAGACTGATGATAAGGCACTTGAAGGGGATTTGTGACTTCCTGGAGATCCAATCTTAGTTGAGTGCTGGTGATCTGAAACAGATTAGATAATGGTAAGATAGTCAGTTGTAAGCAGAGTGAAATTCAATTTAATCCAAATCAGAACACAATGTTGCATCATATACTCCAAGAAGTATACTCAGAGAAACAACTCTGATAGCCTTGGGTCAAGGAAATGATGACTCAGGAATAAGTAGACTTCACCGTCTATGGTTTTATGCTTCTTGATCCTTAAAACATGTGAAAAGTTTATCCTTCTGTGCTTTTAAATTTCTGAAGTATGTGGTTGTAGTATCAACTCGAAAAAATGTTATAAATCTCCTCTACTGATTTATTTTTAAAAATCTGTATCAACAATGTTTTCTGTCTAGATAGTAGACATCATCATCATATCACAATGGAAAAAATGCTAGAAAATGTGTGTGTGGGGGAGCTTAGATGAGAAAGAAATTAATTCTTTAAGTCTGACGACAGAGGCACTAAGAAAGCTGGGAGAATGTGATGGTCCTTAAGATGTAAAGAGCAGTTTACCAGGAGGGAAAAAAAAGGGGGGAAGAGCACTCCAGAGAGAGGCCAGTTTAAATCAAGGAAGGCAGGTGTGCAATTTTATGTATTTGGAGAATAATAACGTTGGTGGAACAAAGTATGGATCTAAGAAACTTTCTTGTTTAGGCAGTGGGAAATCAATGGTTTTTTAGCCAGGGAATAACTTGAACAGATCGAAGACTTAGAAAAATAAATCTTGCAGCACCCGGAAGGGGGGATTTACAGCAGGAAATGCGGGAAGGAAATTATAACAGTCCTGGCCAGATATATGAAAGTCTTCATTAGGGCTGATATTGGAGCAATCAAGACAAAGACAGATTTTTCAAAGATAAATCTGTCAAGATTTACAGACCAGATCAGTGTGGGTGATGAAGGAAAAGGACTCAAAGTTGAATGTTGTACGTCTGCAGCTTATACCGGAGAGCTAAGGGGGGGATATAAGTTTGGCAAAGAAATCGGGCAGGTGTATCTTTTAGGAGAATGAAGGCAGACAACAAGCAATCTGGTCATCTATAAACATATAGGTTGGAAAGCTTGTTGTCTAGTTTTATTCACTCAGATATTGCCACTTGATAAACAACAAAGAGTTGTACACTACTCTTTCTAGAAATGGAGGATTATAATTTAAAAATTTAGATCATCTTGCTTTCTGCAATTTATAGATCTTTTCCCAAATATAGACCTGTGGGGTGTTGCTAACTGTATTACTTTTAGAAATGGACTGTAACTAATATGTAGACAAATATAATGTGTCACGAGCTATGTTTCCAGCCAGCTCTGGTGGCCTTGTGGTAAGGAATTACACTGCCAACCTAAAGGCACATGGTCAGAATCCACTAGCTACTTCACGGAGAATCATGAGCAGTCTCCTCCCCTGTGATTTACAGCCTTTGAAAATCCACTAAAGGGTCAAATATGAGTCAATTCTGAATTGATGGCACATCACATAATAACAACAGTATGTTTCTACAGTTAATTAATTCCTTTACAGGCAGTTTGCCTTAAGCATTTTATCCTGAAATTGAATTTCTACAATTAATTTTCTTAATAAAATCTCATTTCACAGAGTGAAAGTAAACTTCAGTCCAACTGCTCTTTGAATTATAACAAAATATGAGCTAAGAAAGCTTAGTACCCATTTTTGAGGCCAGCATCACCAACCATATTGCCAATACGCCTACGATGACACTTTTTAAAAAGCTGAAAGCATCTTGGAAATAAAGAAATTTTCAGTTAAATATTTTACTTATGTATTACCTAATTTCTGCAGTTCTTGGAAACAATGTTCACATACTCTTGCTGGTTGATTTTTCAGGTAATCTAAACCATATTTATTTGATGAGCAAGCTTGACATACAATCTGAAAACACATAGAAATGATTTCAATTACAATATCCTTTGTGTCCAAACCAAAGTAATCATAGAATTTATCACTCTGTGTCTACTTTTAAAAAATGTATTCAGAGTCATCCAATCTCAATTTCTGGAACAACTTTATCTAAAGTTCAGGCATGTGATGATCTAACACACAGTACCACATTTGAAAGGAGGGACACAGACAGAATTGTCTATTACATGAGTGTTTGTATGTCAAATGTTTGCAGCAGGGTCAGACATGCAGTAAATTCACTGTGAGCTATAGTTAGCAGCAGCAGGAACACCACCACCTTCATCATCACTATTACTGCAACTGCCAAGCCTGCTGGCCCTCTGCCACGTATCCAGCTCTAAGTAGATGCACTCTCTCTCTTTCTCTCTGGCCTCATTTCCTTTTTTAAAGAACTCTCTGATGTTGTTACTATCGCACTTTACTAATGCAACCATATGACTTAATAACAATAGTGATAACTTCACCACTGAAAGGTTCCTCCTCTTAAATAGTTGGTCATCTAGAGAAATACCACTTAAATACAGTGAAGCTAATGAGATCCGGAACTCAACAGCACTGCCATATTCTCCCAGGTCTCACAAGTTTTCTGCTTTCCACGGGTTCTAGTCTGATCTGACCACATGTTTAGTGGAAAATATCTGAGTTTTCCTTCTATGATTGGTTTGCATCTTACGTTCCTGCTTTCACAGGTTCTATTAACAGTTAGCTGTGCAGAGACATGAGAGCCTGTTTAACTGCAAATCTGTTAATATTTTGACATAAATTTGTCTATTACTGACATTCTAAATAGAGTAGGAGAGGATAAGATCCTCCAGAAGGTTTCTTGCCTTTAATATTTAGAGAAAACACTATTGATGATCCACATCAGTATCTTTCTGTCCTTCTCAGACTCTCTCCCTTATCTTTTTTGCATACTAGGAATCAGCTAGCTCACTCGGGACAGCCTGAAAATCAAAATGAAGATGAGTGGGATTCTCTCCAACCTTTCCACAGGCCCGGCAGTGGTGTCGTCTCCAGGTCAGAGTGAATTCACTTGTGCAGATCATACACATGGTGACTCTGGTATCGGGAACCCAGATAGGAGCCTTTGATCCAAGGGGACTAACTTCCTCTTTATTATCCGAGTCAGCCTGCAGAAGAAGATGGACTTCTGATTATTTCTACGCTTGGTGCCCACGGAAGAATCAAGCCTTCCTTTTGAGTAGAGGTGCCATGGTTGAAGTAAGGGCTGTTATTGTTGGTTCATATTCCCTGGAAATGAATATCTAACTATATTCTGAAAATCCTCTAATGCAAAGTGAATTCTGAAAAGATGCCTGTGATAGTGAGATGACAGCTGATTATTGTCTTCCTTAAACTAGTTTGCATTTTCTAAATTTTCTAAAATGGGGTTTTATAGCTCAGAGAAAACACCGATATGTTATATGCTATCACAGGGCTGCAGTTCAGCAATAACAGCAGAATAAATATTTAACTCTGAAATTACACACATACCCCTTGTTATCCTTCTGTGACATATGCTGCTTTTTAAAACCCATGAGAAAAGTGGGTTGGATTTTTTTTAAAGGTAAAACTGTTTGAAATGCACTGAAAAAGGAGGGGAAAAGCAGCAAAGACAATACCTCGTCAAGACTCCTACTAGGATAGAACGTGATTCTTTTCTTGGCATACTCCTCAATTGACCTGGAAATTGCTTCGAGCCATTCATCCCTTTCTGCGGCAGAACTGTTGGGGGCAAAAGAATGTTCCATCAACCAGATGTCAGCGTCTATTCTCTCTTTTTAATTTTTTTTTTTCTTTCTCCCATGGCAACAGATTCGATCAACCTCCAACAATCCTGTCGTACACAACACTGAGGTTTATTTGAACAAATAATGACAGTGGACATTATAGCCCAGGGCATTTTAGCAGGCATTTTCTCTTCCAAAAGTACTGCTTTGTATTAAATGGCTTTTGAAGTCACTCTTAAACATGTAACTATTTTATACTTTAGGTTAAAGATGATTCATAGAATTAATATCTATGGTTATTATAAAGCCAAGAAGGTTCCTAAAATAAAATCCTAGAATTAAAAAAATATTTCAGTGACTCAAATTTCATATCCTAATTTACAACACAGAATGTTAAAATATTTTTAGATTACTGAATGTTACTAAGAATTTTTTTCCAAATAAAGGACAGTGAGGAAAAGGAAACGTATTTGTTGCTCTCATAAAATAAAACAGAAGTAGAAGGAGTGGTTAATGAAGGAAACAGCTCTCCATTGTCATTAGGACTCAAGAGAGGCCAGTGACACTGGCCATTCTTTTGGTCCTTACCCCGGTACAGCCCACCTTTAATTCAAATCGTACTGAGGGAACGCCTTGAACCAGAGCATTCCTGTTCTGTTGTTTTCTACAGCCATGCTACCCAGCCCCAGCCCAAACTCCCTCTGTGGTAAGTCTGAGTTGTTACCGCTATCAGCACATTCATGAAGCTATTATTTAATTTTTATTTTACATACTTGGAACTTAGAGGCACATTTTAGTATACTAAAGGAATTAACAGAAAGTTGAAAAAATTAAAACTCCATAATTGAAAATAAAAGCCATAATGATGGAACTGTGTAGATTTAGTGTCATTTATAAAATATATTTTATATCCTCAGTCATCAAGAGACAGAAATCCAGCTTACATATAAAATTTACAAACGAGATTATTTTTCAGATTTTCACTGTATATAAAGGCTAAGATAAACAACTTCTCTCTAAAATAAATACAATCTTCTTTTATCACTCTGACATTGCAACAGTTTTGTTGTTCTTTCTCAGGTGCCACTCAGTCAGCCCCACCTGATGGAGAACTTCAGTGTAAGAGGACAGACACAGCCCCTTTCTACACCATCCACATGGTCACTGAGATATTTGCGTCCACTGTGTGGTTACTGTGTAGTGTCTTTGAACCAAGAAGGTCATTTGCCAGCTCAATACTGGACGGCATTCTATGATGATCCATATGATTTTCACTGAATAATTGTCCAAAGTTGATTACTGGTCTTTCTTTGCAGTCTGTCAACTCCATTGAAATCTATCTCCCATAGGTCAGTTTAGGAGTATTTCAAATACCGATGGCATAACTTCTATCATCATAGCAACACATGAACCACTACTGTAACAGACTGATAACGGGGGTGGACTGCTACAGCTCACTACCATCTAACAGTTACTACATGTTTGCCAAGGGAGCTCTGGTGCTTCTGGTAAGAAGTCTGCTGCAATTGGAAAGGCAGACAGTTCAAATCCACTAGCTGCTCCATTGGAAAAGGAAGGGCAGTCTCCTCCCACGTGATTTACTGCCTCTGAAAACTCACTTGAGGGTCAGCTATGGAGTGTTTCTCACTCGACCGCACACAACAGTATGTGCTAACTGTGCAAATAGCAATGTACTTGCAAATGTCATCATTCTCAGAACTCTGCTAGATATAAAATTCATTGCATATTACCACTCTTTTCCTCCTTCACGTCATTACATAGATGAAGAATTTGAGGATTATCAATGTTAGTTATCTGCTTTAGAAAAGAGGCTACTAAGTGACAAGTCAGTATCAGGCCCAAGCTTTGAACCATTTACCAGCAGGTCATTTATAACCTCTGTCTGTGTGCTCTGAAGAACTGTTTAATGAGAACACAAACTCGGGATTCTAAGCAAACATTCACAAAACATTACTCTTTCCCTCACTCTCCATCTTTTTTTACTGGAAGAGGAGACAGAAAGCTGAGAGACAGATGGCTGATTTGAGAATTGCTGCCTGCTTTTGTGGGAGCCCTTGGGGCCATGTGGTATGTGAGTCAATTGTGCAGATCATGTCACATATGCTATTCTTTCATTTAATCATTCCTGGATCTCACTTGTGTGGGATTCTGCCAAAACAATGTTGACCAGCACATGACAACACATTTCTCATAGACCACACACATTTGCCCACAGCATTGAGTGGAGACACTGCAACTCTGTTTTGGTAATATGGCTGGCAGAAGAATTAGCATCTTTCCTGAATCATACTGTTACACTAAATATTCTATTCACACAACATAGGTACGTTAACCAGAAAATAGACTTGTAATGAATGAATTCCATTTTGTGACTAGCTGGGATGGTTATCCAAGGGGCAAACTCTTCATTTGAGATAATTTCTGGTGTATTACTACTTTGGAATATTACTTTCCATTTCCAAGGTCACATCCCTTTTATTCCATTAATTTCAATGTTAGGCATTTGCTTTAGGCGTTATTAGGTGCCCGCTAAGAGTTAGGAACTAAGCCTTGAACTGGGAATACAAAATACATCTTACCTGTAAGATGTCATTGACCTGAACAGGACTAATCGCTATCCTAGGAACAACAGATCCAAACTTTGCCCTAACCTGCACCAGCCCCATAATCCTGCCATGCAGTCACTATGTCAGTCTAGCTAGTTGAGGATCTTACTCTTTTTGTTGATCTACAGCTTTTCTAGGCAAGATGTTTTATTCCAAGGACTAATGCCTTCTGACAACTGCCTTCTGGTCCAAATATAGGTTTACATAAGGACAATCAAATGTTCTGGGATTCCCATTCTTCTCAGAGTCAGCCACAGTTTGTTGAGAACCACACAGTCAAAAGCCTTTGCATAGTCAATGAAACACAGATAGACATTCTTCTGGTACTCTCTGCTTTCAGCCAGGATCCATCTAACATTAGCTATAATATCCCTAGTACCAGTCCTTGGAAAGGGACATCATGTTTGGGAGGGTGGAGGGACAGCACAACAGAAGAAGACCCTTATGTGATAGACTGATTCAATGACTGAGGTAATGGGGGTGGGTTTGTCAGAGACAATGAGGTTGGCACAGGACAGAACAGGGTTGAGGGCTCTTGTACATAGGGTCGCTATAAGTTGCAAGCAACGACAATAGTACTTTCTGACAAGTCCAAAGTATGTGATGAAATGAAGTTTCACTAACCTTCCCTCTAATGAATATCTTGGTTTTCACTTTCTCCCAAGGCAAGATTTGTCTGTTCATTGGCAATCCATGGTATATTCAATACTCTTTACCAACATAATTCAAAGGCATCAAGTCTTTTCCAGGCTTTCACACGCATATAATGCAACTAGAATACTATGGTTTGGGTTATGCATGCTTCATCTCTAAACCAGCATCCTTGCTCTGTAGCACATTCAGGTGGTCTTGATGGCTAAGTTGCCCAATATTACAGGTCTTTAGCTTTCTTGACTGCTGCTACCATGGATGTTGATTGCGGATTCAAATAAAGCAAAACTGATGACAATTTCAGTCTTTTCACCATCTGTGATGATGTTCCCAATTGTTATAGTTGTGAAGATTTTGGTTTTCTTGATGGTGAGGTGTAATCCATACTAAAGGTTGTAGTCTTTGACCTTCTTCAATAAATGCCTTAAGTCTTCTTTACTTTCTGGAAGCAAGATGGTGTCAGCTTGTATCTACTTCAGATCAGGCACAGAAACAAAGGTTCAGAACTTTTGTACATAGGGTTTTTATATAAATCTCAAGTGACTCGATGGCACATAACAATAATAATAAAGAATATAAAGATGATGAATAATATAGACGCAGTAAGTTACCTTACTGAGGATTAGAGTGGTGGGGAAGGCTCTGTAGGAGGGAAGACTAAGGCAGGATCTAAAGAAGTGTATGGGTTAGACAGGGCACCATGCAGCCACCCTGAGCACTCCCATTTGGTCTGTCACCTTCAGCTATTATCTCTAAGCTCCTCTCAAATACATGCCTCTATCCAGGCTTCCTTTTGAGTTCCAAATTAGAAACTCCTTTCTTTATATACCATACTGGTATTCACAGACATTTAAAATTCAACACGCACATCCAAAATTTCAGATTTCTCCCCTCAAAGCTTGTCTTCTCCTCTGTTCTCTATGTCAGTGAATAGCACCACCTACACATGGGAGTTGGAAGCTGAAGTGGCATCTACTTCCTAAACAACATGACTGGAAACTCTATGAACTTTGGAAATGTCGAGGGGCTTCAGGCCTTTTGTTCATAGGGTCGCTATGAGTCGTGCTCAACTCAAAGGCAATAAAAAATAACACAGCACCACACTGGAGACTCATTCCTCAATCTCTCTCATCCTCTATGTTCAAATGTTACCTCCATCAGTTCTCATTCCAATCAATTTTCCATACAGCAACCAGGAAATATTTTTTTTCCTTCTTTTTCTTTTTCAGGAAATCTTTTAAAATGCTAACCTGGTCACATGATTCTCTTGTATAAACCTTCCAGTAGCTGCCCATGGCCCACAGGGTAAAAGACGCACAAGATGCTGCATCTCGGAATATGCTATGCCCTTTTCTACCTCAGGGCCTTTATATGCACTGTTTCTAATGAAAAGGAGTCTTCTCCTTTCTTCTCTGCCTAGATGGACGTCCAACTCTTCATCAGGAACAGAAATTTATTTTCTCACAGCTTAGGAAGCTAGGGGTTCAATTTCAGGGCACTGGGTCTAGGGAAAGGTTCCCTCTGTAGATGTCCAAAGCTTAATTAACTTTCTGATGTTAATATACATAAGTAGATCTACTAATCTCTAACATTCTTGCCCCTCAAATCCACCTCAAGGTCCCTTGTTTTGCAGCTATCTTAAAACAGTTAGTACTTTTCTCAGTACTGTAAATATTTGAAAAATATATGGCTTTACATACAATAAGTATTTAACAGTAAGTAAAGAACTTTAAATATTTACTAAATATATGTCTTTATTTTAACCCCTATGACTCAATTTTCAGCCAAAAATAGACAACCATATAAGGTAATAAAAAAAAGTGCATCAAGGATGTGCAGCTATGACTCACAGGTGACTTAATGGCACATAACAACAACCATCAAAGAGTTGTGAAGATTTCATGAAGTTGTTGTTACGGTGCCATTTCGTTGCCTGTGACTCATAGTGACCCTACGTATGATAGCTCTGAATAATGTGGGTTGTACTTAAGTGTTTGCTACTATATTCATTACATCAAATCTCAGGTCTAAGGAGGAAGCCAGGTCTACCAGATCCTGCTGTGGAACAGGATCTCGGTATTACAGCTATTGCTCCTCATCCCTCACCAATCAAAGCCGCCAAACATCCACTGCTGCTTTCTGCCAGTAAGTTAAGAATCATGTATGTTCCACTGTAATAAGAGTCATGCAGCCTCACATTTCCCAAGCACTTGATTTCAGCCTATGGTAATATATTTTGATATAAATAAGTCATTGCAAGATCTATTTTGTGGCAAAGAGATGTGATATAAATGATAATGGTTTACAAAGCATTCATATCCCAGCTTTGCCAGCTGTGTATCCTTAAGCCAGCAATTCAATTTTCATTATGGTTAGATTTCCACTGTACAAATGCAATGTGAAAATTTCCTAGCAACCTACAAAGCAAAAGATTTCCCTCTCTCTCTCTCCTATACTAT